GATATATTCTATATTTTAAAAGATAAGTTTTAAAAATTTTATTTTAAAGAGGACAAAACAGAATAAACCCAAAACAAACCAGTGTAAGAGATATGGGACTTTGACACATTACAAAATTAACAATAGTTTCCATAATGCTTTCTGATGTCTTCAAAATAGTTGCAGATAACTTAGGACATAGTAAAAATCAAACAGAACGGAATAGAATACAAACAATAAAAACAAAACAGTGAATGAAATAAAGGACTTCAAAATGAGAGAGTAGTAAATCCAAAATGACTACTATAACATACCTTGCTATCTTTGAAATAGCTGCCCCTGTCATCATGTTTGACATAAACAAACAAAACAAACGAGAATAAAACCAAACCCAACACAATAATGGAAACTATATAGGACTTCCAAAACAAGACCATAGGGAATCAATGATGGTCACAACCCTCAGAGACTCCCCTAGAGGCCACACTGCTTACCACTAGTTTCTGAACCTATGATCAGACCACTGGCCCTAGACCTGCAATGATGGTGAAACACCAAAACACCACAGGCATCCAATTGCAATTCATCTCCATAGCTATCATCACAGCCTGTGTTTCTCTGGATAAGCCAATCACTTATGGTAGTGGTTAGGGGGATTGTTACTTCTTGTTTGCCAGCCCAAGTGCTGGAAGGGGCTGGGGTCTGCCTGCTGCAGTCTGGCGATGGCCCACACATGGTGCTGGTTCCCAGACTGGGCTTAAAAAGGTCATTTTTTCAAATGAATTTAACAGTATCTCCTTGTTTTGGTTTTAAAGCTTAAGTTAGATGTCACTGGAACGAACACTGGCATGGCAGATACTTACTTAGACGGTGTGATTTGAAGCATGTTTTAAGAAAATATTCATTTGAACCAAATTTTCTCTATCATTGTCCCTTTTGTTACGGATTACACTATTGCTCCAGGGAATTATCAAGCTGACTTCAGTGAACGAGGCATCAATCAGATCCTTTGAAAGAGAGGAAGTGGTAAATGGAATTTTGAGATTTATGGTGAAAACAAAATCAAGAGCAAGGGGTACGCCCACAAGTGCTGTGTAGTGTGAGCATGTGCAGGATCCACACACACCAACCAGAGGGCAAAGGAAGATAGGACGAACCAGGCTTCTCATCCTTTGACCTGGGACTGAGGAGGACTAGTGATCTATCTATGCCCTGCATTCCCTCCTCTGCTTACTAAAATAATTCCTGGCATTTCAGCCCCCTTGAGCTGATTTTAAATATTTTGATATTTGGGATAGACCTTCAGAAAGAAACCAATCTACTAGATGATGACATTGTTTAATGGTGTCTTTACAGGTAACACTTGTCAGAGACTACTTTAGGTAAATTTCAACATAATCTTAAAGTTTATTAATTATTGTAGTTGAGGAGTGTGGAGTGGATAATCTCTCTGTCACATCTGCCCAGCTAACCATCATCTTGTTTTTGAGCTAGGGCCACTTAGAAGAGAAAATGAGGCAGTTCTTAGAAGTGGCCGAGTACTTTCCTGATTATTTTCCTATTTCTTCCATCCTTGTCAAATGAAAGAGATAGATTATTGGTACAAATCATGAACACTAAAAGGAGAGATAGAAGTAAAACCAGAGATACACTCCAGGAAGTTCAGCTATCCGAAAGCTAGCAAGGAAAAATTCAAAAGAAACCCAGGGTTACTCTCTTTACACATCGCTGAGAAGGATCTTGTTGACTGTTGTTGTGAATTTATTGGTGTGTGTGAAAATTGTTATAAAGAAACAGTCTATAAAATATTAGTATTGACATCTGATTTTACCTTTCCACCGGAGATCTTTAGTTGATGCTGTTCATATTGAAAGGATATGAAAACACCCAGAGCTAGGAGAACTGTCACACTGTATACCTGAAGCAGACTGGACAACCAGGGAGCCTACCTTTTATGCAGGTTGCCACGCATTCTGGATTACTTGCACAATACAATCACATACACACATCTATAAGTAAAAATGCACAATCAGGCTCACAGAGGGTAGAAAATAGTCTCAAACATTAGCCCTGCTCCAGATTTTGTTACTATGCATTGAACACCTGCTGCTCAGAGGGAAAGCATGAAAGATAGAAGTGTCTCTGTGAGGGTTTCTAGAGAAAAATAGCTCAGGCCAGTCTTTACCTGATGCCACGGTGGTCCTTCCTGGAGACAATGTCAGCTCTAAGCCCAGGGCACTCCTTCTGATTTTCTAGGAAGAAAGAGAAAATTCCAGATTTTTAAAAATGTAAAATCTTGCTATCTTAAATAGGGCAGCTAGCTTTAAAAGCACTGACAGGCCAAGAAAATTTTATGTCTGAGGAAATGGACTGCAGCTTCACCTTTGGACAGTTAGGTTTTCAGTTGTCCCTTTGGTCCAGTCAAGGGTGTGTGATCACGAAGGCCAGCGGGTTGGTGCTGCAAGAGAGTCAGTCTCCAAGCAAGTGGCAAATGAGCTGGACTCACTCTTCTTATGGAACCTTGATAAGAATCTAAAACTAGGCCTGGTCATGCCCATAGAGAAGAACATGGGATGAATTATGAATCTGGAAATTATGAATCTATAATTTAAGCCAGTTAACTCAGTCTCAGCCGCTTTGGTTTTTTTCATCTGGAACTGACTCTTACACAAACACTGCTGGAGCCGCTCTTGTCCTGCACAGACACAAGATAAGAGATCTGAGGCAACCATGGCCTAGGGCAGTTTGGATTTGATTTATAAATATTTTAAGGTTGTCAGAAATACCCCACAGTTATACAAGGGCCAGAGATTGAGAGATTCTATCCAAGCAAAGGCAAGAAAAATCCCACTAATGATATCAGAAATTGGACAAAGGACGACATTAATGATACCCACTTACATGTTCCTATGGCAGCGCATGTGTGTGGTACATTTTCTTTGAAAATAGAATTATCTTTCTGAAGGGAGTCTTAGGTTTATTGCAGTCAAAAACATGGGCATGGTAGTTTAATAAAGCGAGAACTAGTCTTTGCAAGAATGTGTTTTGGGTTTTCACTTGAAAGTCAAAAATGTTTGATGTTTAATAATTGATTTTTTTTCAAAAATGAATGCTGTTGTGGAGATAAGGATACTTAGCAAATGTAAATTGCTTATTAATCTAAATATTAAGTCTACCTTCTGTACAATATATCTCAACTCACTAGACGACTTGCCTTATGAAAAAGCAGGTTTAAATGAAAGTGCTATTTACCCATTGATTTTATCCATTATTAAATCGATAATTTATCCATTAATTTTTTCTGCATATGTAACATGTATATGGATATAATTAACAAATTAAAATTTAAAAATAACATAATAATAAAAATTCACAATTATTGACATTTTTACCAACATTATTCTTAATTCTACATTCTTATTCCATTGTTTCAAGTCAATTCTGAAAGATAGCAAAAGAGAATTTTAAGGAGAAATGAATTAGAATAAATGAATATCCACAGAAAACACGTGTGTACATACAGAAGTATGCCTCTATGATGGTTGCGATCATGGAAATCCATGGATCAACTTTAAAATGGAAGTGTTTTTGCCAATCATGAAAGCTTTAATTTAATAACCGACAGTGCCACAAAAAAAAACTTTAAAAAATTTATTCCTAGGAAAACAAAGTTCAGCAATTACATTCAGTCTTTACAATATTTGCAACTGAGGTCAGCTTTGTATAGATGCTTCAGGTGTCTGAAATTTTTTTTTTTTGTCTCAAAATTACTGAAAACCCCATCACATTATTTGGGAGACAAAAGTGATTGTGATGAGGATATAAAAGTTACTAGGACAGTACTCAAATATGAAAAACACTTCAATCTGTGCTAACTGCTGTAGAGAGTACTGCCTTCTAATTAGATTGTGAAATTATTTACTGGAAAATAAAAACAAACCAATATGTCAGATACATTATAGCATCTGTAGCCATCTCTACTTCTTATTTATTCAAGAGGTAAGAAGTGAGGAAGAGCACTGACAGCGTGGAGCATTTATGCCCAGCGTGCTTCAGATCCTTGAAACATTATGAATCATGTCAATACCTATGATCATTTCTCACATATGCATGTGAGGATTCACATTCTTTGACATTGGGACATCACATATTAGCATGGATTTCAAAAAACATTATTGGACCTGGATTAGATTCTCAAAATGATCATTTTTTTTTTTTTTGGTCTTTTTCGTTTTTATCTGTACCAGGGATCGAACTCACGACTGCCTGCTTGCAAGGCAGTTGCTTATGCCGCTGAGCTAAATCCCCAGCCCCAAAATGATCATTTTTGGAATTTAAAATGGCATGGACCAGAATCTTCTTTGCCAAAAGTTTCACAGTAACTTACTTAACCTAAAATAAATTCCATTTCAAATGCAGCAAGTATCTAAAAACATTGAGAAGCAAGAACTCAATGCATTGTTGCATATTTGCAATATTTCAACTCCTAGTAAGATTTTTTCCATATTGGATCACTACATGAAATACTTAATATAGGTTCACAAATGTATTATAGGGTTCTGGGTTTGACTATTTGTATATTGAGTCCCACTTTCATTGTAATTTTTCTTTACTTGTTATGCTTCAAGGATGTGCTCAGATACATGGTCATGTGATAAATAAGGCTGGCAAACACAAGTGATGCTATCTTTTGGCATTAAGGTAATTATAGATCATTACACGGTAGGAATAGCCAGTAGTTCTAAAGTAACATGATTAATAAAACATTATAAAACTGTAATTCACCTAAGCTTTTTAATATTTTACTATTTCTTCTTTGTTTCTCCAAAGCTATGAATTTCAAGATTTATTTGCCATTATTCTCTATTTTCTGCTGTACACAGTATTTGTGGGCTATGGCAACCAATCCCCTTGGGCTTTCTTTAGCTTTAATTTGCATAAACACAGGCATCATATGAATATTCAGTGAGTGGCTTTGCATTAAGTAAGTGCCCTTAATCAGCTTTTCAGTTCAGTTTTATTGGTTGCATGCACAGTCAGTTATTTCATCCAGAAAATCTGAAGGCCCTTCAAACTAACCAGGTAAGGATTGTAATTCCTTGATGCATTTAATGAAAGAATATTATCATTTGATTACATAGGTTCTGGAGAATGCTAAAAGCATGGTGGGTTTTTTTTCCCTGTGTTTTTTTCTTCCCTTGGTGGTCAGGTGGATGCATGATTCTCTAATTTGCATAAACATCAGCTCTATGAATAATTCATCAGGGTTATTTTAAACACTAGGCTTCTACTTTGGATGGCACTAGGGTACTGCCATTTGATTGGCTGGATGCTGTTTTCATCACTAGCAGAATTCCTATAACATGAAAGCACCTAAAGGAACTGAATTAAATATACAATATTTGTTTTTTGAAAAATGCCTGTTATCTTTTCAAAGCAAATTGTGTCGCATTCCTCCCTCCCTACCATTACAGCTTCTAGCTTTTCATGATAAGTACATTACAAGCTCAAATGTGGCTGTCTGTAGACTTGACCAGTGTCTGTGATTTCTGGAGAATGGGGTAGCAGCTGTATTCTCCTGAACATGCATAAACATGAGCAACATGTAAATAAGAAACCTTCGCATGCATATGGAGCCCTGGATAGCCCCACTGCTAGAATCCATCTATTTTCTTTATCAGAATCTTCTCTTTGAGTGATAACTTTGAGACTGCTTCATCTATTTTAAAGTGCCATGGACAATTATAGTAATATATATGCATATGATAAGCTTATATGATCTAACAAATTATTTCTTGTTAAATGCTTTATTTATAGTTTTCTCTCAGCCTACCTGCAGATTTTTTTAAGTCTGCTAGTTCTTTGCAATACAACAGTGACCAGAAAAGTGTTAATGAAGAAAAACCAGGATAATTAGTATAAATATTAGGGTGTAATTCACTCTCGTAATTTACTTAAAATACAGTGTGCCTTTTCTTTGTGGAAGTGAGGACTATGGAGATTGAAGACATTCTTTGTTATTCACTTGAGCCTGAGTCCTTTGCCTTTCTGATCTGATGCTACACTGACAAGATTCTCCTCGTAAACATTTGATCCTGAGACATCGCAGACATATGGTATTGCACAATGGTGCAAATTGCATTTAGTCTTTGGCACTTTCCATCTTTGTTTTCCTACTCTATAGATTAATGTAACACAAATTACTGTTATGAAAGTGTAATCAGTTAGTATGTGTAATCAACTATAAAATACTCCACAGTCACTGTTCCTTCAATAGATTATAGGGATAAAAATATCAGCGATATCTTTAATATGAATAAAGCAAGCTGAAAAATTCTGATTATTTAATAGGCTTTTCAAATGAAAATGTTAGTGATCTCTTTAAATCAGCTTTGCACTGTGACATCATTCATTGGCTTTTTATAAGTAATGTGTGTCATTATCCCTTGACTTTTTATAAATAATATTCATCTAATGAGTTACAATACTGAAAATGAAGAAATATTATTTTCCCTTTTCCTGCAAGTTCTATGCATCTAATGACAAAATTGGGTTAGTTCTTATTTGCTTTTATTTAGATTATTTGGAATTAATTTAGATTCTATTTCTATTATCTTTTTTCTTTTACTTTTGTTGTATTTTTGGATACACGAAACAAGTAGTTTTGAGGTAATAATTCTTCACTTACAATCAACATTCATAAACATATTTGACATATTTCTTATGTCACCTATTGTCAAAATACTTCATTATTCAAAAGAGAACAAGGAATTAAATATTAAAATTGTTTAAAATGAGAATTGTAAATTTCTTCCAAAATTCTATGTGGTCATATTACAGTTGTGTTTTACATGTAATTATAAGTAGTAATTTAAATCTCACATCTGCAGTGTTCTATGTTTAATTAAATCTTGCAAGATTCAATACAGATGCTATTTAGTTATCAACCATTAAATGTTTATAACTATAATAAACACCACATGATCTTTGCCGAACTATATAGAGATAGTAGATTTGAAACATTTAACTGAAGATCTATCCAAGTGATGTTCCTGTTATTTAATAATTTTCACATAAAACCAGCTAAAAACATAAATTGCATATATTTTACAAATTATTTTATAAACCAGAAATGAATAATTAGAGTACAGTGTCCTGAAGGGTTTTGTCTTCTGTAGACCTATAATTCTATTTTAGGTGTACACAATTTTGAAATTTTTCATCTAACTCTTATTGAACAATTGTACAATATCCAATTTAACATGATAAACTGAGTTCCTCTGTGCTTTTGCCATTCATATGCTTTGTAGAAATCACAAAAGCTTCTGTAAAAATGGATATATTTTAAATGAAGTTGAAACTACAAATCTAGTGAAGGACCATAAAATACACCCTCCATTTCATAAGCAATTCTTCCTGGAAAGACAGAAATCACCTTGTATTTCATAAGCATTATTTAAAGAAAACAAAGCATTTGGATAAATCTTTGAAGACTATCATCATTTTTAAATGATTACAATTAAAATTATAATGTATTACATTCCTAGGGAAGAAAAATCTTTTGTATCTTATAAATAAAGTCCTATTTTATTTAGTGCTTTTATATTTGTAAATATTTTTAAAAAATAGAGAGGTATACCATGTTTATACTGTCATTTAAGACCTTAATATTTGATGATATCGTATTTAGTGGGAAAAATTCAAATATGTGCAATCATCTGTAATATTTTCCCTTTTATTTTTAATATCTGAATATATTGTCAAACAATTGTTGCTGAGGAGTATAAACAATTAAGGGCACACATTGTACTGTTTTTAAATCCACTAAGAGTTAAAGGCAATTGAAGCTTACTAGTGTTCTTGTCTGTAGAATTTGATCTACACACGCTAATTTGATCTACACAAGGTAAAGCTTTAAATTTTATGAATATTTGCCTTCACAAAAGGTTTGAAACTGAATATTACCTTAGGGCAGGAGGTTTCAGTTACATGAGATGTAAATCCATGCATCTTTTAAAGACACTGATGTCCTTCAAGAATTCTTGGTCTAAATAATGGGTATGAGTCCGAGACTTGAAGAGATCTATGCACTAATCCCTCTGGCCAGTATCATTCTTCTCCCAGAACCCCAGTCATTTTAATCTGAGAATTCACTTCAGACTTTGCTTTTCACATTCTTTCAACCTAGATGAACTGGGTGTGAGCTTTTACTAATCTCGCATCTGAGTTCAGTGTCCTATCAGAGGTGGAAATGAGGAGGAAGAAGAAAGGGATGATTTCCTATGAGCTGATTTACCCTGAGTGGAGCCCAGCTCATTTGCCTCTATTAGAAGTACACATTTAGTAATCTTTTAATTGGACAAACTTGTATAAAGTTAGTGAATAACTTGAATGTGTGCAGTTATTCTTAATGTAAGATCCTTTGAATATTTAGATGTCAGTCTATATCAACCAATATGCTATAAGCTTTGGTAGTTTTTTTGGCAGGGGGATTGAACTCATGACCTCATACTTGCCAGGGACATGCTTCCATCACTGAGCTAAATCTCCATCCCTGATAGTGTATTTTTTGAATAAAATTGTTAATTTAAACTCTGAATTTCCCAGTAGCATTCAAATTCATTGTGTAGAAAAGCAAGAAAGAATTATGTTAAAATCTTGTTCAAGTATTAATTATTTTGGAGGGAAATAAAACATTATATCTTCTATCACACTGTTTATCAAAGACATGTTCAACATATTATAGTTTACTTAGTTTACTTAGTTTCTCCCAGAACCCCAGTCATTTTAATCTGAGAATTCACTTCAGACTTTGCTTTTAATTAAGATTAGAATGATCAAGCTGGGCCTGGTGGCATGCCTGTGATCCCTGCCCCCGGAGAGGGTGAGACAGAGGGTCAGCAAGTTGAAGACCAATCTGGATAACTTAGCAATTTAGTGAGACCTTGTATAGAAACATAAAATGGTTCGGGTATAGCTCAGTAAGAGGGTCCTGGGTTCAATTCTCCATATAGAAAGAAAAGAGAAAATAAAAAAAAGAAAAGAAAGAAAGAGGAAAAGAAGAGAACAGGAGAGGAGAGGAGAGGAGAGGAGAGGAGAGGAGAGGAGAGGAGAGGAGGAAGGAGAAAAATAAAGCTCTTTAAGAGGTTTTAACATGAGAGGATCTTTCAGGATTATCATGTGTATTCTTTGTTTGTTAATATATCTCGATAAATTTGCAAACTTAAATGGTAAGCCTCAAATAAATCACTTTTTATTCAGAAAAAGTAGTATGTACTGTTTCTGCATTTCTGATAAGTGATACTGGTTGAACACTGGAATATGATACATCTTTTGGGGTCAAACTGTGATAATGAAATTCTAGTGACCTCATAAACTCTACTAGGCAGTTTACCCCTTTTTCTGTGACACAAATTTGTATGAATTTTCTATTTTGTAAGTTCTATATGAATTTTCTGTAAATATTTTTGGAAGTTTTCATTTTCTTGTTTCACTTCTAAGTGATAGTGATCAATTTTGGTTTGTTTATTTATATTTGTATACATTTAGACCATTTATAATTTTCTAGGAAATTGTTCCTCTTATCAAAGTTTTAAATTGATATAAACTAGTTCACTGACTATTTCTTATGATTTATAAACTGTCTACCACATGTTCCATATACCTCATTTTTCCTGTTTGAGATTCATTTGAGATTTTAATTGTTTTCTCTTGAATAGTCTTGCAAGAGTTTTGTCTACCTTTTAGTAGTACGTGTTTGTGATACACGATGAATACAATCTCCATGGAAAGTTAGTACATTTACATATTTCACTTTCTCCTTCCTTTCTCCTCTTTTTCCTTCTCTTACTCCTCTATCTATACCTAGTCCCCCTGTCCGTTTTCAAAAGACCTTTCTCTTTTTTTTCCTCATTTGTAGCTTTCATTTTGTTCTTTGTAGTATTTACATTTTGGCTTTCTCATGTGAGAGAAGCTCTTGTGATGGTCAAGCTTATGTGCTTGATTTATTTCACCCAGCAGTGTGGTCTCACAGTGCATCCATTTGAGTTTTCTTTCTTATCAGTCCCTTCAAAAGAGTAGTA